GTTGCTTGCTGCTCACAACCCAAACCAGCCAGTTAAGGTGTAGGGCTCCACTAACCACCACACCCCACCGCAGCTTAAGCAACTCCCGTCGGAGCTGTGCTCTACAACAGGCAATCTTGCACCTAATTGGACCAGTCAAAACTGTCGCTCCTCATTCCCTACTGCACGGCACAAACCCTACTTCACCTAATCGACGTAGCGATTACCCCAAAACAAGGAAGTGGAATTGCGACAGGCACAAAGTGTCTCTGCCATCGTCCCTGTCTGCAGGTGCCGGTGCCATAGCCTTCACTTAGTGTCAGGTAAAACACACATGTAGCGAACAGCTAAGATCAGACGACCCGCGAATGTCAACATGCAGGCTTCCGAGAGCTTTCCTGCAAACAACACTACACTGGCGGCAGACGGTAAGCAGAGTCGTAAACTTCATCACTAATAAGGTAGGGTGACCGAGACAAACACCCGGGGTTGCCATCTCCGTCCCTGTTTGCAGGTGCAAGCGCCATAGCCTTCATTTAGTCTCGATTGAAGCTAATAAAAAAACACACCAGATACCATATTTCCAGTAACTACAACAGCAACTCAGAAGGCCCAACAGCGCGTAGCACGTTGCACATGAAATCCGTTCACACTTCACTAGAGCCCCTGTCGTCACACTCGCATGTCCATAAGTACACTGGTCTAGCAAACAATAGAGAACAATATCATACCATCCGCTGAAAACAAGAGGTTCGCGAGTGTCACTATGCAGGCTTTGGACTGTACTACCTTCCTCAGTCAGGCTTCGGCAGCAGCTGGGTGGGGACCGCGTCTTCCCCATCGTCCATGGCCGTCTCCTGTCCCTCCTCCATGGAAGGTCCATCAACCTCCCGCTGCTTTTTGCCGGTCCGTTGGAAGGCTTCCAAGACCTGTGGGCCGAAAAGCTGGATCACATCTTTGTCCGGCATGGTGCCCTCCTGCCATTGCTTTAGTGCGATAGCTTGTCCAGGCAGCTCATTGCGCTCGGGATGGGTGGTAGGGAGAGTTTCCAACTCGAGCAACTCGGTCGCAAAACGGTCCCGGTCCACCTCTATGTCGTGCACCGTGGAAAAGAAGCTCGCCAGCGCCGCTCCGCCAGCATTATAGAGGTCCGCGACGGACGCCCTACCCGTGCACCACCGGTTGTAGAGGTCCCGCAAGTTGGCGTCCCCCATGCTGTACACGACCGGCCCCGAAGTGGGGAAGTAATGCGTCTGCCCTTCCGGTACATGGCCTCTTGCGATGCGGGCTTCTTCCTCCTTCAGGAGCTGGCGTGCCTCCTGCTGCCCCATTTTCTTGCCCTGGTAGTAATAGGCCGCCTCCCGCTTTGCGAGCTTGACCTCCATTCGGAGTTCCAGCTCAGTGTCACCATCCAGGTCGTACTCCAGGTAGCGTTTGCGGCCACCCTTCGCCCCAAGAGACAAGGTGACCCGTGCGCATGCCCGTCCATTGCCTCCCGACCATCCCAGGTGGCTTTGTAGCGTTGCTCTGTCCTCACGTTGGGCGGGAGGGAGGCAGCCCTGTCCAAATGGTCAGTGGAGGAGCCCGGAGTGCCTTCATGGGTGGCGTTCGTCTGCTCCTGGTGCCACCCCCACAGTTCCATGTCGTGTTCTCGCTGTTTCTCCTCCTCCGCTTCCTGCCGCTGTTCTTCTTCGAGTTGTTGCCTCCGCCTGTCTCCTTCAATGGAGTCCTCGACCAGCTCGGGCGATGGTGGGCTTTGAGGAGGTGCTTCGGCACGGGGTTGATGGGACGCCATCGTACGCCTCAGGGGTGGCATAAGTCTATACAGCCATTTCTCCACCCAGAGCTTCTCCTCAGTTGTTGGTCCGGGAATCACTGCAGGGCTCGAGGCGGAGTACATGTGCCCTACCAGGAGTGCTTGTAGTTCATGCCAGAGTCGGACGTCATTGGACTGTGCTTGTAGTTCCTCATGTAAGAAACGTGCTCGTCGGTCCGCATGGGCATTGTTAAGCTGCTGCAGCACTTCATGTAAATCTTGGATGTTCTCGCGCTGCTGGTCCTCGTAGGGGGGTCCTGTTGGGCCACGGCTGCTGACCGACTGCATCATGGCGGTCGTGTCGTCTTCATCGTTTGTCTTTTCGCCATGCCTTTCTGCGCTACTGCTCGCTGAACCTGTAGCCATAGTCGGTTCATCTGGGTCAGGGGCCTTTCGGGGTTCTTGTCCGGCGTCGGAGGAGACGGCCATTTGTCGTCTAACCACGATGTGCTGCAGCTCCCCATACATTTGGTCGAAGACTGAACCCAAGGAGTCCAGCATGGTCTGGAGGTCCTCGGAGCTCAAGCTTTCCATAGTGTATGCCACGGTATCCAAGAGGTCCTTTGGCAGGATGCTCGGCGAGCCGTCCGCGTCCCACTCCGGCTCCCTTAGTCCTGGGTCGAACTCCACAAATTTCATCCACATCTGTTCCGCTGCCGGGACATCCATGGGCCCTTCCGGCGGGGGTTCACATAGCACTTCTTCGGTCTCATTCACTGGTACCTCCCGTTCGCGAGCGGCGCTTGTTTCACTTGGGCGGTCCTCAGATTCAGCAGATGCGGAGGCATTGGCATTCTGGCGCCAGGGTGGCTGACCCCACTTGGCCGGCATTGGCTCAGGCTGGGGGTTGGGAACTCTCCGCTCCAGTGTCCTGAAGCTTATGGACTTCGCTGCCGGTTTGAGTGTCTTCCATAGCCGTGTGGGTGACTCGTGGCGTCCATGTACTCGCTTTCCCATGAAACTTGTCACCTCGTCCTCCGGATGGCCAAAGTTCAGCCATTTTCCAATGGCTGCGGTAACATTTTGCCTCCACTCTTCTTGGATCGGGGTAAGTGGTGGTGTAGCTCGAACTTCGGGCTGCCAGGGGATACCATAGCAAACCCACTGTACCATGGCTCGGGCTTGGAGAGCTTGGTCACCTTCTAGGTCCACATAGCGAAACATGGTGTACGTGGCATCGATCATGTCTCTCACTTCATGTCCTCGCTCCCAAGTGTCGGCAAGCCACTCCGCTAGTCGGTGGAGTTCTTCCTCAAGTTTGTTTCTGGTTCGTCTCATAGTCCTTGAGGGAGGTCCTTCGGGCCGGGCAGGATCTGGTAATCGACGATGTCCTCCTTCTGGTAATAGGCCAGGGTGGTCACTAGGTGGTCCTTGGTTTCGGGCTGGATCCGGTAATCGACTGTGTTCTCCTTCTTGTAGTAGCTCAGGTTGGCGGGGCTGTTTCGAAACGGAACTTGAACTTGCCGTTTTGTTGTCACCTGACGGTCCTTCATCTTGGGTAGGTTCTGGTAATCGACGAGGTTCTCCTTGTGGTAGTAACTCAGGTTTCCTTGCATGTTTGAACGTGGAACTCGTACATGTCGTTGTCTGGACACCTGGTAGTCCTTCTTCTCGGGCGGGTTCTGGTAATCGACGATGTTCTCCTTCCAGCAGTAGCTCGGGCCCGGGTTGTAGCGGCTGTTCCGCCGTGGAACTCGCACTTGCAGTTGTGTGGTCGCTAGTTGGTCCTTCGTCCAAGGTTGGATCTGGCAATCGACGGTGTTCTCCTCCTGGTAGTAGGTCAGGGTGTCGCGGATGTGCTCGGGCAGGAACTGGTACTTGGTGTCGTTCTCCTTCGGGTAGTAGGTCAGGCTGTCGCGCCTGGATCGACGGAGAACTCGTGTTCGCGTCATTGCAGCAGCCAGGCAGCGCTTCTGCTCTGCGTACTCTGGGAGGATCTTGAGGCGCAGTTGTGTGGTCACTAGTGGGTCCTTCGGCCAAGGTTGGATCTGGTAATCGACGGTGTTCTCCTCCTGGTAGTAGGTCAGGGTGTCGCGGGTGTGCTCGGGCAGGAACTGGTACTCGGTGTTGTTCTCCTTCGGGTAGTAGGTCAGGCTGTCGCACTTGTATCGACGGAGAACTCGTGTTCGCGTCATTGTTGTCGCCAGGCAGCGCTTCTTCTCTGCGTACTCTGGGAGGATCTTCAGGTGCACAGTGCGGTCCAGGGCAGGCTTGACGATCATGTTGCCGGGGTGGTCCATCCGAGGTGTTGTATTCGGGGCGCTCACAGCCAACATCGGCCATATGCTCTGGATGGATGGCAGTCGCTGCATCGTGGCGTTCATCTCCAGGAGGCGGTTGTCCTTCAGCCACACGCTGCCGTTTTCCTCGAGGTGCTTGTTCAGGTCCATGTAGGGGTCGGAGTTCGGAATCGGGCCGTAGGGGTCGGAAAGCTCGCAGGGGGGCGCCTTGCGTCATCAAGAAGCAGCAACCCCATAGCAGCAAGCACGTCGACCCGGCCATCATGTTGCAGGTCTTATCCGCTAGGGAGCCCGCTCACGGAAAGAAAAGGAGCTGCTGGAAGCGGCTGCGAAGTGCGGCATGTGCAAAGAAGACTGCAGGGGAAGTGATATCATCAGTCAAGTCAGGCTGGTCCGTTGAATCAAGTCTGTCATGGGCGGCTGGTGCGTGTTGAAAATGTCCACTGTAAGACCCTAGTACGCTGAACGGGGCCTCAGCACGGGGCTTCACTGGTCGTTCGGGTACCTATTGTCATTAGTGAGGTAATGCTAGTTGTCTTCCAGTCGTCCATGCAATGTCTGCTGTTGCCAACCATTGGGGGAGGTGAGTGATCCACTGCTGTGGGTCCTGTGCTACCTGCCTCCAGTCTTGCGATCTGCTGGCTCGGTTGAGCTTTACTTCCTCGTTTGAGAGATAAGGGTAGAACGCCTTTGGATGGGTGTATCCAGCCTTACTTCGCTGCTGTTCCCTCCACCAGGTGTGGTCCCTGTACTTGTCCATGAGTGCGCTGGCTGTAGGTGCTTCTCTATAAAGAGCTCTGGCGGTGTGGCCTTTGTACTTCCAGTACCTCTGAAGCCATACAGTAGACCATCTCTCCACTTGGTGAACGTGGAGAATTTGCCGGGCTCCCCGGAGGGATCTCAGCCTGTGGTCCAGCCAGGATTCGTCAGGCTTTCGTTTGAAACCTGCTGCTTTGGCTGTGAGTTCGAGCTGGAGGGTGTTGATTGCCCCCATGGCCTGCGGTGTGGGCATAATGGCTGAGCTGTACCACAGCACTGCCCCCCCCCACAACTGCTCGTAGGACTCCCAACTTTTGCTTAAGAGGGGCTCTGGCCATTAGCACTTCTTTGTTGGCGTAGAACTTCTTCGTGCCTTTGGCTATGCCCGTGTCCATGAGAGCGTGGTGTTTGATTGGGCTGGTCAGGGGGATTCCGAAGACTAGCATCTCGCCTGCCGGCTCTACTGTCTCCCCATCGACAAGGATTGGTCCGGGGCTCCTGCTGTACGGCGACACATAGTATGAGGTCTTGGCAGGGTTGACTCTGAGGCCCCATTTGCTCAGTTCCCGTTGGAACAAGTGGTACTTCGTCAGCATATCTGCCTTGCTAGCAGCCCAGAGGAGGGTGTCATCCATGAAGAGCACTTCTTTAATTGGCATCCCTGGGCTGCCGGAATCGACGAGGGCCAGTCTGGGCGCCTTTGTGCAGATGCCAGCGCAGCTTCAATTGCTACAGCGAAGATAAAGGGGCTTTCAACAGCTCCCTGCCGTATGCCTCTGGACTGAGGAACTGCTTCGTCTCCCCAGGCCGTGCGGATGATCGCAACGCCCTCCTGGAGTAGCTTCTGCCAACACGCATATTCCCTAGCCATATGCTGCGGCAATCGGTCTCTGAGCAACTGAAGGGTTCTGTCCCGATCCAGGGAGTCGAATGCTTTCCTGATGTCGATACGCATCCAGTGAAGTCCTAGTTTCCATTCGGAATCTAAGGCAAAACTACGGACAGCCGTGAACAGGTAATCCGAGGTCTGTCTCCCATTGTGGGCGCACTGGGCGCTACCATCCGGTCGGATGTGCTGCCTGGTGCGATTTAGCAGCATGGTGCCGAATACTTTTCCAGCTGCTGAACCTAAGCTGATCGGTCGTAGATCGCCTGGCCCTGCTGGTTTGGGTTTTTTGGGGAGTAGTGTTACAATCATCTTCAGCCACTGGGTTGGCAGGTCCTCTCCCATCCGCAGTCTCTCCATCCAATCTAGGACAGCTTGTTCACTGGCCGGGTCTTCGATCAGTGCTTTGAGCAACTCGAACGACGTGAGGTCGATGCCAACTGCCTTGTTGCGCTGACCCTTGTGTACTGCAGCGCGGAGTTCTTCCAGGCTGAACGGCATCCCGTCGTCTGCTCCTTGGTTCCATTGGGGTGGTCGCCTTGGGTGTGGACACCGGAAGATGTCTTTGAAATGCTGTATTGTCCACCTTTGAGGGTCCTTCCGTTCAGCTTCTGCAGATTCCAGAAAATGCACCGCCCATTCTCCGTCAGTCTGGATCTTTGTGCTTTGGAACGCCTGCCAACCCCCAGCTGCTGCTTCCTCCAGTTTGGCCCGTCTCCACTGGTCTTGAGCAGCTCGTCGGAGTTGGTGCGCCCGCTTCCAGGCCCCCTCTGATGTTCCAGCCTTCGCAAACCTGTAGGCTTCCTTGACCGAGGCCGGGTCAACATATTTGGTAGATTTCTTCGGGGCTGTGCACCGACGGGCTAGATCTTCTAGGGCAGTCTGGTCAGCGTAGGTAAGGGAGGGAGGTTGTTGTACCACCCTTCTTGGCTGGGTCGGGCTGCGGACAAAGGTAGTCCGTTCGGGATCCTTGAAGTTGATTTCTACGGTCAATCTGTCATGGTCTGCACCTATTTGCTTGAAGGAGTCAACCTCAATGTTCACCGGTCTGCACTGGACATGTTTGCTGGCAACTGCATCAATCTGGTGGCCTCTGGCTCGCCGCCTCGGTCTACTGGTAGGCGTTGTCCACTGGTGAGGACGGGGAGCGATCAGATGCATTCCGGCGTTGCCCAGCTCTGACGCTAGGTAGTCCCCCCGGCTGTCGACCGGGCGAAAGGTACCTTCGCTTCCGCAGGCCTGGGTCCAGTGCATGCGGGTATTGTAGTCTCCTAGCAGCACAGTTGGGAGCATTGTTGCGGGCAGTAACTTTACCACCTCTCTGCATTCTTCTGCAGTGACCTCGGAGGCCACTCCCGTGCTCAGCCTGAGGCTTCCCACCCAAAATTGCTGGTGCGTCCTTTCATCCCTGAGCCGCAGCCATATGCCAAAGCGGCAGCCGCGTCTCCTCATCACCTGGTAGGCGTCAGTGAGGAAGGCGATACCATTGCCTCGCCACTGTGCATCGTCATGTCTTCTCTCGACGAGGGTGTAACCTTCGACCTTGGTTGAGTGCCACCCCACGGGTCGGCGGGGCAGCTCTTGAAACGCAAGTATGTCTGGCCTGGTTGGCAGGGCTTTGGTGATACTGGTGACAGAGTCTTCTATCGACTTTCCTCCGATATTCCAAGAGGACATCGAAATTGCACGCAATTTGGTTTCAGTTCGTTTAGCTGCGGATGCGACCTTCTTGGTTCGAATCCTCTGCGGCTCGCCCTTTGGGCTTTCGCCGCCACTCACCAGGGATATGCCCGGTGACGCCCTATTCAGGCGAGCTTCAAAGTACTCAGAAACAGTCTCAAGTCGAGGCGGCTCCCCCATCGAGACCACCGATCCGGCGGTTGGGTTGGGAGGGGCATCTAGACTACCACATGCAGGCAGGGAAAAGGCATCATCGAATTCGTTATTCAGCTCAGGCTCTTGCTCGTCTCAGCTGGTCAGCTCTTTCCATCTGGTGGCAAGGTCGTCGATCTCCGCATTGGTGATCTTGGAGGCCAAGGAGAGGTTGATCCAGCTGCCAGGGGTCTTCCCCTCATGTATCCCCGACGTGTTTTTGGGTACTGGCAACGTGGTGCTTGCCAGCAGCTGACCATGTAGCCACACATGACCTCCTGTATAGTCGGTCTCGATGAACTGGATCTCGGCTTCTATCACCTCGAGGATGAGTCTCTTGCTTTTCCCTACATGGGCTGCCTTTTGCCTTTCGGCTAATGTTCTGCCCAGGTTGGCACGCAAGTTTCTGCCGTTCTCCATAGAGGGGGCCTGGTACGATGCTGCTCTGACCTTTTGTGTAACCGCGATCATTCTCTTCTTGAGCTCTGCCTGCGTCTCACTCTCTTGCTGACTCATTAAGCACATGACGAAGCCTTTCCGGGGTCCTGTGGCAAAGACGTCCCTGAACTCATCGGTAATGCCAATCTTGCCGAAAGCTTCAGTGACTTCACTCAGTAGGGTAGCACGCGGAGTGTTGTCTGGCCATCCTCCCACTATCATAAGGTCCTGTTTCTGTGGCTCCGCCGTAGTAGACCCCGCTGAGGAGAGCACCGAGTGGGGCCGGAGCTCAAGTGACTTCAGCCGCTCATCGAAGCGATCCTGGGCCTCTCTCATCTGAGTAATGTAGTCGTCATGGCGGGAGAGGTGCTTAGTCATATTCCTGAAGTCCTCACGGTGGCTCGCCCTCAGATCACTGACAGCCTCTCGGATAGCAGTCTGCTGGTTCGCCTGCAAGACTCTAGTCTGCTCCAGGAACATCGCTTGCAAGTCAGCAAGGTTGAGAGGTGCATTTGGGTCAGCCCTGCGCCGCACCGGGGAGGGGTCTCCCGTGCGATCCGCTCCCTTTTTCCTGGCCACCTCATCACCACTGTTGATCTCCAGGTCAGCATCACGGTCGTCTGCATCCACTATAGGAACCGCGGCACCTTCTTGCGCCGAGCGGGGCATCTTAGTAGTGCGCCGGCGGGACGGAGCCGCCAAAGCTTTGCTCGGTGAGGGCCCTCCGGGCTCCAGTTTCCAGCCAGTAGGAGTTAGCCGAGGCTTGGGTATGAGACTCGGATGCCCCCACGTGCCGAAGGAGATTTGTACGTTCTTAGGCCGGGGAGCCTCTTCAACCATACACACCCCGAGTAGGCAGATAGTTTGGCCAGGAAGCGAAGCAGACAGACGTAGACCATATGGACAAGAGCGCAGAACTAGTCTCAACTCGGGGGGGGACTTGAGCCTTCAGCCTTGAGGGTTTAGGGGTTTAGGGTTTAGGGTTTAGGGATAGGGCCTTGGATAAGACTCAAAAGAGTAGCAAGAGGATGATGTGGGAGTAGAATTTCCCATATTCGAAGGGCAGGCGTAGTGAACATGAGCGCTACCATAGTTTAAGGCATGTTCCTTTTTCAGTATTCTCGTGTCTCGTTTTGTGCATGCATTCACCTTGCAACCAGCAACCACTTCAAGTGGGCCCGGATCTGCTTACATGATCTTGGCCCTTAGCAAGGTGGGTTTAAAACGAACTCACCTGGGTAGTCCTCTAAATCAGGGTCCCGTTTAGGGTCCTTTTTTACAGGGGTGCCGTACTATTTGGGGGTCCAGAAAGTTCCCTAACTTAGAGGAGGACCCCCTCAAGGAACCTATGAAGCCCTGCCCTCGAGGACTCTAGGTGATGTAGGGGTTTTGGCGGCTCCTTATTCGAATTACAGTATAAAAAAAAACCCAAACCCTATTCTAATGATTGAGGCCCCCATAGTAGGCTCACCCGCCTCGAACAGAAAGCTGTGCGGCAGCTGCTGCACTTCAGAGAACCTACCGGGGCTGCGGGGCTGTAGGCTTTCTCCCACAGTTTTCCCTGGGGTTTGTAGCTTCGGTCCTTTGGGCTTAGGGCTTCAAGGATCTTAAACCCCGAACCTTAAGCCCTAAACCCTAAACCTTAAACCCTAAACCCTAAGCCTTAAACCCTAAACCCTCAGGGCTTTAAGGATCTTAGTGGTTCAGGGGGGTTCAGGATGGCTTGGAGTTTAGGTTTTAGGAGTTTTTAGGATGCGTTCAGTGTTGTGGTATAAAAATACGGGCGGCCTCAATAATTATAAGCGGGCTTTGGGGTATATTGTAGCATAAATATAAAAAAGACCCCACTCAAAAAATAGTATAGGCAATTATTATAAGGCCCCTATAGTAGTGCTCGGGGCAGCAGAAGGAAGACAGAAGCTCAACAAGCTGCACAGAAGAGGCAGAAGCCGTGGCCGGAATTTGTCAGCGTAAAACTTCTCAGCGTCGCAAAGAAGAGCTTACCAGTTGTTCGATCAAAAACCTAAACCCTCAATTCCAAACCCCATCGCCTAATCTACACACGAAGAAAACGCAGCTTACGTTGCGATTTCGTCGAGGGCAATGGAGAAAAAACTCCGGAAATCGCCAATGGCAACGAAAACAATTAAGGTCTAAGCCTACATATGTATATATATATATATAGCTATACCTTTACATGATGGAAAGGTTTGGGGCTTCGGGGTAAACTCTAGGTAAACCTTCACCCGCTTATGAAACCCTAAACCCCAAAACCCTAAACCCTAAACCCAAAACCCTAAAAGCCCTAAAAGCCCCAAATCCTTCCAGCCTCGCACTGGAGGCCCTGAAATGACCCCCCAGCCTCCGTAAACCGCTCAGCCGTCAAGCCCTGAAGCCTTGAGCTCTATCCTAAGGAAACTACCGGTGGGGAGTTGAGGGTTCCTTTAAAAAGGGTTTAGGGTTAGGGTTTAGGGTTTAGGGTTTAGGGTTTAGGAATCTGCAGGTGGGGAGTTTAGGGTTTGAGTAGGGCTTCTATAAGGCTTCCATAAGGTATATGACAGTATATGATATAGACCTTCTAGAAGGCTCCTACAACGGTAACTACCCACCTAAAAATGTCCTAGACTATCCTGCGTACGCAGGGGAACTCCGATGAAGTAAAGAAACGCAAGTCCGTGTAGTATATACTTTGGCCTTAAAAGTATACTCCCTATATAGGTACTTTGGGGCCAAAGTATATACTATTTGGGTACATGGACCCTTTGGAGATTTGGGTACATGGACCCCTTGGGGATAGTTCAAAAACCCTCAAAAAAGAAGCCTCCAGCCCTCTTTCTGCAGCAGCACGAGCAGGGCGCGGGGAAAGCCGGGCACCTCCTTGAACTCTTGCCTTTGCCGTTTGGCGTGTTATTCGGGTTTAAGACCGGTATGTGTCTCTTGGCAGTGTCGTTTGAAACAGCTTGCTGTATTGTTCAATCGTGCCCGCGATGTGAGCTTGTGCTCCAGCCGTTTTTTGATGTTCGGTGAATGATTTGTTGCTTTGCTGCCTTAGTTCCTTTCCTTAAATTTCGAGGATGAAAGAGGTGATGCGAGTAGTGGCGTGGGGCGTAAAGCATCAGGGCTCAGGTTTTAGGGTCTAGTGGGTCGTTAGCAGGTGGGGGTTCTCTAAGTAAGGTTCCGGTAAGTATATATCTAATGCAGGCCCAATTACGGCCATTTTTGGCCCCTACAGCTAGTACTGCTGCGGGCGCCGCAGGGTATAGAAACCTTCTACTGGTAGAAGTCTTTTTTGTGAGCCTTGACTTCCCTGTGTTAGAGGATCCGGGGAGTTAGTAAGTAGAGCTATAAGCGCCTCAATCAAGATCAAAATTGGATAGAGCTGTAGATACCGGCTACCACGCCCTACTTGCTATGTCCACCAAACGACCCCAACCCTCAAGAGAATTCTTGAAAGAACCCATAAGCCTGCCTACTAAGTCCCTTAGGAGAGCTCTAGTAAGGTTTACTTCACGTAGCGATTCGGCGAGGCACAGGAGGAAGGTCAGGGAAGCTTCGGCGTTTGGCCAGTCCTGGCATCTTCGCGACCCGGCGAAACGCATCTGGACCCCACCTTTCTAGAGTTCCCTAATAGGATTTCGCTGATTTCGTTATGTAAACTCTTAAAATTGTAGGTTATCTGGTGCTAAGGAAGGGTTTAGAGGTTAGGGTGTAGGCTTTAGAGTTTAGAGTTGAGGGCGTATTAGGGTCTAGGGCTTCGGGTTTAATTTAGGGTCTCAGGTTTCTCATACCATGTGCCTCAGCCTCCAGGCATCAAATCCCAGCCTAGTGCCTCTCGTTTCCAATAAACTGTCGGATAAGGTCAAGGTGCCTGGGCTTCAACAAGCATGTCCTCACATGCAGACCACAGAACCCTAAACCCTAAACCCTATAAACCCTAAACCCTAAACCCCAAACCGTCAGACTGCATGCAAAGAAATTAGGTGTTGGGGATTCCTACCAAAAAGAACCCAAGAGCCACACTCTGTTCTCTGTTTTTCACACAAGGCGACCCCGCAAAGGTTTGCTGAACCTGAACCCAGTAACACTGTACGAGTCCTGTATACCGATACTTTAGCACAAGACAACATGCATTCCTGACCTGATAGTTGAACCCTCGACACATCCCCAGGACCAAGAAACAGCTGCAAAAACTGTCTGCTGGCCATCGCCCCTACCCCGCATGCATCGCAAAAACCCTACAACCTTGTAAACCCCTATGTAAAGCCCCAAACACTACCGTCCTAAACCCTAAACCCTAAACCCTACGTGCAGCCCCAAACACTACCCTCTGGCCTAAACCCTAAACCCTAAAGGCCCTAAACCCTAAACCCACCCGACTCTGCCCCTTCTAGGAGCTTCAGCCGCCCCCTGCAAGGCAGGGATCCCAAGTCCTGCGCCTTGAAATTCACCTGCCGCACGAAGCAAGACGGACTTCGGCTCGGGGGCTTCGGGATTAGGGTTTAAGGTTTCGGGCTTGGGATTGAGGGTTTAAGGGTTTTTTGTAGTTTAGGGATTAGGGTTTATAGTTTTTTATAGCTTAGGGATTAGGGTTTATAGTTTCCGGTTTAGGGTTCAGGCTTTATAGTTTAGGGTTTAGGGTTTGGGCTTCGCTAGTATCAAGCTCCCAGCCAGGAGTTGCCAGCGCGTCAGTCGAATTTGGCGATGCTTGCTTCCAATTTTGTTATCTACTCATAAAACTTGAAGCTGTGCGGCGCGCAAATCTGCGGGCAAGTTCAGCTGAGTTGGCACAGCCGCGACTGAATCGTGTGGTTTCTGTGGCCAACTATCAGGTGGGTTTAAAAAAACAACGAATGCCCGTGCAATCCCAAACTGGAATCTGGGGACAAACATGTGGGTTTTTCCTCGGATCAACAATTGCCCAATACGTTGTTTCAGTATGTTGGTACGATACAAAAGGATCTGTTTGTGCAGATAAAGAAAGCGAGTTTGAGCCTTAGTCGCTTTCGGACGCCGTCCGCAGTCAAAGGAAGCCCATCCTCCATTGGAAAGTTTGTGGCACAGTTATGTTAAAAAACAGTTCGACGTGTAGAAGCTTCCAAAGCAGCCTGAACTTCCCAAGGCAACAGACAACGTTTTCGTCTGGAAGTTACTAGGTTCTGATCCGAAACCTTGAGAGAGCCATAAGTAGGGTCAAGAAGGGTCCCCGTTGAGGAGTCTCCAAAAATAAGTAGGAGTCAGGTCGTTACACACAGGAGCCGGCATGAGGTTTCGACATTTAAAGGCGAATCTAGCAGAAAGTCTCTCCCTTCCAAGGCTACATCTGCCACGGCCCTTGCAATGCTGTTATTAAGAGACTGTTCTTGCAACCAGGATTGCGTCAATCCCCTACTGTTTGCAAGGCCTCCCCCCGGGCCTAGATGACTGGAACATGTCTAGGCGGCGCACGCTGATGATGACAGGCAATTGTGCGGTGGGCTGCATGTCTCCTGCACTCTGTTCGCTTCCCGGACCACAAATTTGGGTGGAAGCCGACGGCGTCCTAAATCTACCGGCCTCGGCCAACTCTAACAAAAGACCGCAACCTGCAATCTTCATGTTGCTCACAGTTAGGCCTACTATACGGTATCACGAGTGTTTTCTTATAGGGTTCCCAAGTTGCGTCTTCCGTGTCCTAAACCCTAAACCCTAAACCCTAAACCCCCAAGGGCCTGCTTCAGCAGCGAAATCAGCACACGCATGCCATCTGCGGCATGGAAGTCGTTCTTCGCCTCTCGGTTGCAGCGTATTGAGGTATTCCACCACAAGGCACCCTAAACCCTAAAGCCCCTAAACCCTAAACCCCTGAACCCAAGTGCCTCCGGCGTGAGGCCCTTCCAGCCTAAGGGCAAGCTTCTGGGTGTGAAACACAACATTCACAGGGCTACTTCACGCAAACACTTCAATAGCAGAGATTCACGAATCCTGAATCCCTGAACCTAAAACCCCTAAGCTCCTGAACCCCAAACCCGACACTTTCGCCAGGAAGCGGTTTTTCACCTGCTCGATGACGTACCTGTCTGCTTCAGGCTTTCAGGGCTGGGGTTCAGCTTTGGGGTTTAGGCTGGGGGTTTTGGGTATCCTGTGCTGTAGGGTTCCGGGTCTACTTCTCCGTTTCGTTTAATTTTAAAGTCGGTTTCGGGCTCGAGGGTGCAGGTTTGGGTTCAACTTCCGGAGATCATCTGAAGTGCTTTCATGTCTGCTTCTCAAAAGCAGTCTATGGTTAGATTCCTTCGGCCTCCACTTTGAGGGTTCCTTTAAGGAATTTAGGGGGTCCACTCAGGCCCCTTTTGTGTATCCCTTTAAAGGCTACCTGTCCAGCATCAAAGAAGGCTCGACGTCGGAGAATCTATGCACGGCAAACGACTAGCATTAGTCTAGGAGCCTGAAATATTAGGGATTGGGGTCTAGAGATTTAGAAATTTAGGGCTCAGGGTTTGGAGGTTGAGGAGTTGAGGGTTTAGGATAATGCCATTTCGAATTCCTTGTCATAGTGATAAGATGATATACCCTAAAGAATCATTAAGACCCTTACAGCAGTCTGCAACACCCCTTATTTTGTGAAGTCTCCTGAACGTCTAAGTATCCGGTTTCGGGTTCAGGGGTTTAGGGTCTAGGGCCAGAACTCCTATCAAGCTCTTCTAGGCCCTCACAGAAACCCTTCACAATCTTGACAGGACATTGCCCCCTAATATATACCCTAAACCCTAAACCCTAAACCCTAAACCCTAAACCCTAATATGGGAACCTAAAAAAAATTTAAAAAAACAATCAGACTGGGGTTTTGGGGCCCGCTATACTATACTGGGATCCCCAAGACAACAATACCAACAATAACAATAATGATAAACATGGTAATATTTCTATTAATAATAATAGAAATATTGGTGATTATTTAGGCCCCTTTCTTAAAACCTGAGCCCTAAATTACGCCAAAGCCGAATCCCTACAGCCAAGCATCGAGACGGCGGCGGGCTTGGCGCTCCCCTCTCGCGCGACCACCCGCATTATCTGCACCTGAGGGCTGATCCCTGCAGGAACTTGTGTTTTCAGATTTGGGGGTTTTGGGGTTTAGGGTGTAGGGCTTTAGGGTTTGTTGGGGTTTTGGGGTTTAGGGGTATAGGGCTTCGGGTGTTAGGGTTTAGGGTTGCTTTAGGGCTTCAGGGCTTCAAGGCTTTGAGTGTTTTGGGATCGAAGGTCTTTTCGGACTTTACTTCTCGGTGTAGCACTTTCGGTCTGCTGCTTGACGGCAACCCTCGTCTCGAAGTCCTAACTTAGGGTTTAGGGTTCAGGGTTATAGGGTTTAGGGTTCAGGGATATAGGGTTTAGGGTTTAGGGTTTAGGGTTCAGGGTTATAGGATATTCATGGAGGGGCCCAACTACTTTGAGCACGACTCTGCCTTGTAATGGAAATGCGGGGGCCTAAAGAATTGCCAGGACCGTTTCGAAGGGTCCCTAAACCCTAAACCCTAAACCCTGATTCGAACTATATAACATAATGGGCTCCCAAGCCCGATTCTAATTATCAAGGCCGCCATATTAAGGAAAGTTTGCAACATCGTCCCTGGCGACAGCATTGGACCCCGAGCACTCCGCCACCAACGCTGAAGAAACACTAAACCTTAAACCCTAAACCATAAACCCTGGAACTTTAAAACTTAAACCCTAAACCTTAAACCCTCAACCCTAAGCCTTAAACCCCAACTCGCCTAAACCCGAAGCCCCTGAACTCCTAAGCCCAAACCCCCAAACCCCTAAATCCTAGCAGAACTACGGTTTAGGGTTCCTGAACCCTTGTATCACTCCCCTTACAGAAGATCCCGAGACCCCCCGACCCTAAACCCTAAAGCCCTAAACCCTGAAACCCTAAACCCTGAAACCCTAAACCCTGAACCCTGAAACCCTGAACCCTAAACCCTAAACTCCTACACTTCACTGCGGCCAAAACGCGAAGAAGGAGACCGGCCCGGCCCCGCCCAAGATGAAGCGTGCATCCTTCTGACGGCCTTTTTCAAGCGAGAAGCCCGCTTAGGGCTCAGAATTTAGGGTTTTGCGCTCAGCATTTAGGGTCTATAGGGTGTGACTTATCAGGTTGGGGTCTGGAGATTAGAATTTAGGGTTTCGGGCTTAAAACCAGGTGGACAGGGCTGTCTGTCAAACGGGAAATACCTAAGACTAAGCTCCAAAAGCCCTAACTTCTGATCCCAAACCCAAGGCATACCACGAGAAAAAGGCCTCTGGCAACCTATTCCTTAACCCTGCAACCGACTCGAACATCACAAGCTCCAAATACCAGGAACCCTCTGAGTCCCTAAAGCTAAAGAAGCAATCACAGCACTAACAAGTTAGGCCTTCAAATCCTAAACCCGAACAGCGCATACATGTTCTGTATACATACAGGCATGCATGCAT